ACCACACTATCAGAGTATGCGTTGAAACACACATGGAGTTTTCCTCCATCAGCCTGTGTTAATGTCCAGGTCTCTGCTACATACAGTCCATGCTATTTCGCATTGCCCTTGAATAAAGCTCAGCTCTGTGCTCTCAGCATTCAATTCTTAGACTTTCAAATCTGTCGCATCTTTACAACTATTTCTGCCACTTGCTCGATCCCTACTTTGATACCTTCTTCTTTTCTTCCCTGCCTGTTGGTGACTTTCCCCTTGTACGTAAAATATCCCACATCTTCTTGTGGTGTCCATTGAAGAATGACGGAAGTTATGTCTATTGTACTCATCGTGGGGACTTTTTGTTTTTCGACATACTGAATATCAAGCCCAGTATTGCATGCGCCTTGTTGAGGACATCTGTTAACTTTTGCATTTGGTCAAAGCTGTTGGAGTGCCAAATTGCCAGTAAAATTAAGATCTTCTGTTTGGCTGTTTAGGGCCTATCAGTTCCCCTTTATACCGACCTGAAATGGTGCGTCTAAAACTGAATCCCCGGCAAAAAAATTAAGCTGCTTATAACCTTGGCTTTATCTGGTCGTCACCTCACATGAATCACCAGAATTAGGACTTAACAGGTCATCCTATTATATAATATGTTAAAGTCATTCCAGTCTACCAATCAAGCCAATCACTGCACAGAAACATCACTCTTAGAGTTATGAATGACGTGCCTGCTGACTGTGATTCAGGAACAGTTGTTTTGCTGAGCCTTTTAGATTTATCAGCAGCTTTTGATGCAAATAATCATCATATTTTATTGAATTGTTGACTGCCCTTAGCTGGTTTTGTTCTTTCCCATCATATCGATACATAAAGTCTAGTGTCATTAAAGAGCAAATAATTAGATCATGTTCTTATGAATGTGATACCTTGGGGTTCAGTCTTCGGTCCAGTTTTGTTCACCATTTATACTCAACCATTTGTCAAGGGAATAGTTACAGTGTAGTACTACTTAAGGTATCATTTCCATAGTGACAGTACCCACATTTATGGTCGAACAATATCTACCAACTTAAAATAAACGTTTGATTCTCAATCATACCGTCAGTATTTTGTGTTTTTCTGTAAAGAAATAAACTCGCACTTTCCATTAATCTGTACTCACTCAGAAAAAATTGCTACGTCTCCAAGCACCTGTGAATGCAAATGATTGAGTGTCTGGTTAAAATTACTTTTTCAAGGAGTTTAAGATCATGAAAAAACCCATTTCCCCTATTGAAGTTAAAATCCCTCGGCTTTAAAAAAAAGTTTCGGTCAGCATTTGATAACAACAAATAATCTGACCTTCTAAAATTCAAAAACTACTACGTTGGTGTGTCTTTTGATATCTGTCTCAAATTGAAATTAGATAACGGCCGTAAAAGAACAACAAGAACACCCCCCCCCCCAACCGGTCAAAAAAAGAAAGAACAATACAACTCAACTTGATCAGGTAGGCGATTGGACAATGAAGAAACGTAGCTAAAACTGCTCTCCTATTCTCTGGAGCATTACTTTTTTCTTGATTTACCTCTGGTGAGAACAATCCCCCCTCTTCCGTCTGTCTGTCTGTCTGTCTGTCTGTCTGTCTGTCTGTCTGTCTGTCTGTCTGTCTGTCTGTCTGTCC